GTGGGCGCCCTCTTGACCCGCCCCAGGACTTGCCTTTGTCCCAGCCCCGCGGGCTGGGCGTGCTTGTCTCGCCTTGGGGAATTGCTACCACCAAGTGTCTCCCTCTTGAGTCGTTTCCATCCAACACTCCGGCAGCTTCTGACCCATTTAACACCTGGGAAAACTGGGGCTCAGGGTGGTGCAATGCTTGCCCGGCCCCACAGCCAGGGAGGTGAAGCTAGGACTCCCACCCAGTTCTTTTGAAAATCAAAAGCCCTTTCTTCTGCTTTTCAGCCTGCAGAATTCTCTGAATTGCCAAAGTCTCTGGCCTTGCAGATGCCCCAAGATCCTCCTTCGGGGCTCCCTCTGACAGGAAACCGGGTGGGGGGTGGGGGTGGGAAATAGGGAAGGAGAGGAGCTCCGACCTAATGCTCCCACTCCCTCTCCATACTCAGAACCCCATCAGAGAAACACCCCACCACCACCCAGTCTGGCCTCTGCCTACATGGAAATCTAAACACAGGCCATTGCTGAATTCCTACACCGAGAAGCCCCTCAACACGATGCACACACACCGGCAGGATCCTCTGAGAAGAAACCTTCCCCTCCTTCCACATCTGGGTTGGGCTGGGTCTGGCTCAGAGGAGAAACGGGCCATGCCATTGGAGTGTATGCATGACTTTGGGAGGTAGGACAAGACCAGACACTACAGAACTCCCTACAGACTATGGTACAGGCTGCTCCCCGGAGTCCACATCAAACCTCTGGCTGCTGGGAGTCCTAGACTGGGCCACCACCACCAAAGAGTGCCTGAGAGTCTTGTGGGCCCAGACAAGCCCCCTAGTGCTGCTATTTAACAGAAATACCACAAGTGGGTGGCTTTAACAAACAAATTTATTCTCTCACAGTTTAGAAGACTAGAAGTCCAAATTCAGGTCCCCAGCTCTCGAGGAAGACTCTCTCTGTGTCGGCTCTGGGTGAAGGTCCTTGTCTCTTTTCAGCTCTGTTCCTTGGCCATCTTCATGTGGTGTGGTATGTCTTCACCCGTCTCTGCTTGCTTGCTTCCCTGCTTGCTCAGTCTGCTCTTTTTATATCTCAAAAAGAGTTGGATTTAAAACATACCCTACACTAAAAAACTATCTCATTTAACATAACAAAGAAACCCCATTCCCAAATGGTATTATAACCACAGATCTAATAGGGGTTAGGATTTACAATACATATTTTTTGGAGACACAGTTCAATCCATAACAGGGTCTTACAGGACCCAGGAGCTGTAACAAGGCTGCTGGAGCTTGAGCCCCAGGAAAGCATAGCGGGCAGGGGAAGCCAGAGACCTGGCCACCAGCCCTGATTCTGCCTCTTCACTGTAGAACCTTAAACAAAGCCACTGTGATACCTCCTTGGCCTCAAGCATTGTTTGTTGGGTGAATATATGAAATTTACTCCTCTGAAACTGTTTTCTCATACATAAAATGAGAATCGCAGTGATAACACCGACAACACAGGGGCTGTGGGAAGGCCTCTGAGGATGCAGTCCTCAGCTTCCGGGAGCTCTATAGAGCAAGGTTATCTAGTTCTGTATCACTCTCTGTCTTTAGCTCTTATATTTAGGACTTTGATTTACTTTGAGTTAATTTTGTATATGGTCTGAGCAGGTAGGTTGCCATAGTGGCACAACGGTTAGCTCTTGGCTGCTAACCAAAACCCACCTAGCAGCTCTGTGGGAGAAACACCTGGCAATCTGCTTCTGTAAACATTACAGCCAAGAAAACCCTATGGGGCAGTTCTGCTCTGTTATATGGGGTCACTATGAGTCGGAATCAACTGGATGGTACCTAATAACATGAATTGGGTCCAACTTCATTCTTTTGCATTTGGCTATCCAGTTGTCTCAGCATCTTTTGTTGAAAAGACTATACTCTCTCTGTTGAATGGACTTGGCACTCTTGTCAAAAATCAGTTGACTGTAGATAAACATGATTTTATGTCTGGATTCTCAATTCTAATCCACTGATCTATATGTCTGCCTTACACTAGCACCACACTGTCTTGAATTAGTGTAGCTTCGTAGTAAGTTTTGAAATTGGGACATGTAACTCCCCCTACTTTGTTCTCCTTTTTCAGGATTGTTTTGGCTGTTCTGGCTCTCCTGTAATTCCATATGAATTTTAGAATCAGTCTGTCAATTTCTACAAAGACTCAGCTGAGAGTCTAATAGGATTATATGGAATCTGTAGATCACCTGGAGAGTATTGCCATCTTAACAATTTTATGTCTTCCAATCCATGACCATGGGATGTTTTTCCATTATTTAGATCGTCTCTTATTTCTTTCAACAATGTTTTGTAGTTTTCTGAGAATAAGTTTTTCACTTTTGTTAAATTTATTCCTAAATTATTCCTTTTGATGCTGTTGTAAATGTTATTATTTTCTTAATTTCGTTTTCAGATTGTTCGTTGCAAGCGTGTAGAAATACAATTGAGTTTTGTAAGTTGGTTTTGTATTGGCAGCCTTGCTGAACTCATTTATTAGTTCTAATAATTTTTTAGCGTATTCTTCAGGATTTTTCTATATACATAATCATGTCATCTGTGAATAGAGATAGGTTTTACTTCTTCCTTTCCAATCTGGATGGCTTTTATGTATTTATTTTTTGCCTAATTGCCCTGGCTAGAACCTGCATTACAATGTTGAATCTAAGTGGTGAAAGTAGACATCCTTGTCTTGTTTCAGACCTTAGGGATAAAATATTCAGTCTTTCACATTAAGTATGATGTTAGCTGTGGGTTTTTCATAGATGCCTTTTACCAGGTTGAGGAAGTTCCTTCTACGTCTAGTTTGTTGAATGTTTTTGCCATGAAAGGGTGCTGGATATTATCCAATGTTGTCGAGATGATAATGTGGTTTTTGTTTTCTATTCTATTGATACGATGTATTATATTAATTGATCTTCAGATGTTTGAAATCCTGGGATAAATCTGACTTTGTCAAGGTATATAATTCTTTTTATATGTTGCTGGATTTGTTTCCCAGGTATTTTGTTGGGGATTTTTGTGTCCATATTTGTAAGAGACATTGGTCTGTAGTTTTCTTTGCTTGTGATTTGTTTAACTGGTTTTGATATCAAAGTAATACCGGCCTCATAGAATGAATTGGAAAGTGTTCACTACTCTTCTATATTTTTGAAAAGTTTATGAAGAATTGTTATTAATTCTTCTTTATATGTTTGGTAGAATTCACTGGAGAAGCCATCTGAGCCTGGGCTTTTCTTTGTAAGTAGCTTTTTTATTGTTATTATTGTTACTAATTCAATCTCTTCACTTGTTATAGGTCTGTTTAGATTGTCTACTTCTTTTTAAGTCAGTGTCAATAGTTTGTGTCTTTCTAGGAACTTGTCTATTTCATCTAAGTAATCTAATTTATTGGCATACAATGATTCATAGTATTCACTTATAGTCCTTTTTATTTTTTTTAATGTTGGTAATAATGTCCTCTATTTTATTTCTAATTCTAGTTATTTGATCTTCTTTTTTTCTTAGTCAATCTAGCTAAAAGTTTGTCAATTCTATTGCTCTTTTCAAAGAACCAGCTTTTGGTTTCATTTTCTCTATTGTTTTGCTACTTCTATTTCATTAATTTCTGCCCCATCTTAATTATTATCTCCTTCCTCTACTTACTTTAGATTAGTTTGCACTTCTTGTTCCAGTGTCTTAAAGTGGAAACTTAGATTATTGTTTTGAGATCTTTCTTCTTTATTAATGTAGGCATTTAGAGCTATAAATTTCCCTCTAAACACTACTTTAGCTGCATTCCATAAGTTTTGGTATGTTGTGTATTTTTTCTGCTCCTTTCTCTCTCTCTCCTCTCCTTCTGGTACACCCATTTCACATATGTTGGTGTGCTTAATGGTACCTCATATGTCTCAGCTCTGTTCATTTTTCTCTCTCCTTTTTTCTCTCTTTTCTTCAGATTGCATAATCTCTACTGATCTATTTTCAAGTTCACTGATTATTTCTGCAACCAGTTCAAATGTACTGCTGAGCCCTGCTAGTGAATTTTTCATTTTCTTGTACTTGTCAATTTCAGCTATCCCATTTTGTTCTTTTTAATATTTTCTATCTCTTTATTGATATTCTCTATTTGATGTGA